ATGGTTAGTGAGTATGAGTATGATGCTATGATGTTTATGATTTCATGTACAAGTAGATATATACAAACAAAGCAAACAAATCCTTAGGTTTAGGCTTGCATGGAGTTTCATAGGTAAGTACCCTGTTGAAGTTTAGTTGGCTCAAACCTGTCCTAGTAATAATAATCGGGTTCTAAGGAGCTCAATATCACTGATTTGTTTTCTCGAGCATTGTTTTAGCGGAAGCCTCTTTAATAGCGACCGAAATATCCCAAAAACCAAACCTCAATGAGTGTAGTATCGAGTATCTACCAACTTCGGACTGCACCAAAGTCAGTCATCCCACTACGTCCTAACGGCCAAGTTGGTCAAGTAAATGTTCTAAGAGTCAGTTAGTGCTTCATGACATCACTCAGCGGCCCCGTATTCTCCTTGACTACTCAAGGGCTACCGGTACCCACAAATATGTTGCACTAACATAGATATTTCTTAGACCGTGTCGGTATATCCCGCACAGTTTCCATAATTTGTTGCTACTTACCTATAAGGTATCCCAAATCCGGGTAGATGATTCAAACCCAAACAAAGAACCAAAATGTAAAGCACACAAGTCAAACAAAGAAAGCAAGTAAATATGGTCTAACCCTAAGGTAACCCCACTTTTAAAATTTCCCCAACAGAGTCGCCAGTTCTGTGGTGTGGTAGGAGAACTGACTTGGGTGTTTTGCGTTATATCACAAATGTTGCGGTTAGCAAGAGTCGCCACCGAATTTTCTTTTATCCAAAAGGAAAGGTAAAAAATTACAGAAAAGGCCTTTGAGATTGTTCCTTAAGTTCGGGGGGTAGATTATGAAAAGGGAAGGTATTAGCACCCTTTTCATCCATGGTTTTCCATGGGCTCTTTGTTACTTGCTAGATCACTTGCTTTTGTTTGAAATTATGCTTTGTGTGGTTTTGAAAGTATTTTGTAAAAGAGGTCATTGTTTAGGCAATCTTTTTAATGATTCTTGTTTATAAGAATGTATACAAAGATGTTTGTCTTTTTGAAAATGTTTTCAAGTTTGTAAAATGTTTTTGAAATGTGTGTCTTTGTTTTGAAAATAGCAAGGATATTTGTTTAAAATGGAGCAAGTAACTAAAAGTAATCTACCTACTCAAATGTCTTTCTTGTTCATTTTCTTTTCCTTTGATATTTTGTCTTTCCATTGATTTGGTAAGCAACCCTATCTTTTGGATGTAAACGGGACAGGCGTGGATCATTGTATGACCATGATTAGCAATGTTGGAAAGTATCTTAGCATTTTGAGGGACTAAGATCATTTTTGTAAGGCAACTTTGAATAGCGTCATCGAGGGACTATGATCTTGTTTTTTTGTTTGTTTTGCTAAGATACCTTACATGCGTAATATGGCCAATTTGTTCAAGGCAACCAAGTGGAGTAACCCTAGGGGTGTTTATGTGCAAGTGTGTCATTTTCATGCTTGATTTTGTCTTGAATTAGGGTTTTCTATTTGATTGATTTTATCTTGCCATACAAACCCTAATTATTAACATGTTATATATGAAGCGATAAATTGCGGAAAGTAAATATCCTACGCTATTACAATCATTTAGGGATGGGATGTACAAATTTACAAATGGGGATTGCAAGAAATTAAAGTTATAATTATCTATTACAACCATATTGAATAGCCATGAAGAAAATATATGAAGCATGTACAAATAAAGAAAAATGAAAGGAAAATAAAACATTTTGGATCATTATGTGTCGACACATGCCGTAAAATCAAGCTTCTCGAATGCACTTTTTCTTTGATGAAGACAAATCATGATTGATAAAGAAGGCAAAAATTATTGATCAAGATAAAAGCCTCTTTGGATTAAGTCTTTGGTTCAATCCCTTTAGCAAATTTCAAGATATAATGATAATACTTACCTTGAACTTAATATATAGATGCTCAATGGTCAAAAAGAAACATTTTATATTGTCCAACTCTTTATTCAAGTCTTTTTAAAGGAAAAAATCAATTTTCATTTAAGTGCAATCGATTTGCATGTTAGTGCAATCGATTGCATGCTTTAGTTTTTCAAAACATGGCTACTGACACTACAAGAAAAATGATAGATTGGGACGGTTATTTTGGCTGATTACGACGGTTAAAACCGTCGCAATTTACAATCTACGACGGTAGAAGTACCGTCGCAGAATCGTGCGTCCCCAGCCTATTTCACGACGGTTGCAAAAACTGTCACGCACAACAGATAACGACGGTTATATACCGTCGTGAATTTGACTTTATTTTTTGTTTTTGTTGTTGTTTGCGACGGTTATTCTACCGCCGTAGGTTAGAAATTGCGGCGGTTTTAACCGTCGTAATCTGATTTATAAATTTCAAATAATATTTTTATTTAAATTATTATTTAGTAAAATAATTTTAAATATAATATTATTTTACTATAATATTTTACTATTATATTTAAATTATTATTTACTTTAATATTTTTTTATTTATAGTATTTTTATTTTATTTTCTATCACTTTTCAACATAATAAAGTTAATTACAATAAAAACATTTAATATCAAATAATCATCAATAATATCAAAAAAATGTGATCAAAGGTAAAAAGAAGTGCAAATTTTACCAATAAACAAGAAAAATTCAAATATCATCAAAGGCCAAATTTCATTTTAATATTTACATTGGTTTGCTACAACTTGAGAGAATTACAAAAAATGTTACAATATTCTACAAAATTCATGAAAGTCCTTAGTGTTAAGTGATTTTGTGTTAAACTTCCATGCTAGGACCATGATCCTTCCTTGACTACCATTTGGTCCAAGCTACGCATACCTAGCAGCCTGCAAGATTCACACAAAACATATTTTTGTACTCACAAGAACATGTGGCAGGTTTTTGGCATCATAATATGCCTCAGATGGCTTAGTCAATGTCTTGAAGAGCAGCGAAGCAAGTGGAAGAGAAAAGTTACCTGCAACAAAAACCAAAGCAGCATATCAATAGTTGGTAGAAATCATAGATTTATCAAATAGAAATCTTATATTTTTCAACAGCTCATATCCCTTTAAATCCAACAAAAACATTATTATTTTCATTCTAGTGCGGAAGACACTTCATGTTTCAGATGCATGAAGGGGTGCAGCTCATGTTTCGACCGTCCTACATTTGCAAAGAAAGAAAAATCTGTCTAAATCATTACAGTTCAATTAACAGAGTAACTCTGTAGTTTACATTTCAAATAACAAACATTACACATTCCCATTTATGTTTTTGACAGCTATTCGACAGCTATTCGACAGCTAAACCCTTCAAAGCAATATTCTAAGGTACATGTTCTTCTTTGGCAATAGAAGAAAAGTAGTTCATTAACTAAACAAGAAAATCACAATAAATTGAAACCTGTATTTAGACTTGAAATTAGTTTTTTTAACACAGATTATCATGCAACCAAGTTTGGCTTCTCTAAATGAAGTGATAAATATGCTTGAGAGAAAATTACAAAACCATAACCATTTATTAGAAAATAGATGCTCGAGATTAAGATGAAATACATGCACATGCAGTAACACATTTTCAATCTCTGTTAATAATAACATAGTGCAACCCTCATATTAGAGAAAGCCCGAAATAAATAAATAAAACTACTCCCTCCATTCAAAATGATCATTTTTAAAGCTCTGCACAATGATTAAGAAAGTTATCAAATATCTACAACTTTAGAGAAATATAACTTCATATTATTGTATCACCTTTCAATTCAATTTGAATGGTTAGAAAATTACAAGCCCCCTCTACTAAGTATTGGGGATCCAAGTTCAGTAATCAAATCAAGTGAGTATAGCAAAACTCCTCCAGTCATTTAATCCTTGTTCAGATTTCACCGATAGAGGTTGAAACTCACACCCTCTACAATCCCAAATCCCAATTCACCTTTTTGATTCCCAGACACTATTTTCATTTGCTATGGCCAAGCCCTTAACTTTGTCAAGGCTGCCTCTAATTCCAAATAGTGCAAATCCCAAAAGAAAGTTAAAAAAAAAAAAGACAAAAATAATGCTTTCTTGACTTTCTAAGCCTTACATAATCTGAAACTAAGACTTCTAACATGACAATTCATTTGAAACGGATGGAGTTACCAAAAAGAGAACGCGAGCACAAAATCCTTTGTGTAGAGACATCTTGTTAATAAGACACTGGAATGATATGAGCTTATAGAAACTAGTATTTAACTCAAATACTCAATAAAGCATTAAACTAGGTGATTGACGATATAAGCTTGTAGAAATTAGTATCTAACTCAATAAGCATTAAACTACGTGATTCCATAATTGGTGACAAAATACATTAGATGTTACAAAGCTACATGCATCGGAAAGTAAAAAAAAACATTTACACAGCCTATAATGCTTATTTAAATAACTTGGTGAAGATAGTGTACTTCCCGTAGCAATAATTCATCAACATTTACACCTGAGTAGCAAATACGTAGCAAATACATGCTTTACAACGGTATCAACCCGTCATGAAGAAGCTACCACATAAAAAGTATATCTAAAAAGGCTTGTTGCGACTCAAAATAAACAAATTGGTTCAAGGATTTGATGCAATTGTACACATCATCACCCCATCCTAACTGTTATCATATGACTTCGATAAATATAGACAGACTAAAGTTAGGAAACAGAGATGTGTACCTTCAGAGCATAAGCTTGTGATTTCTCAGAAACAGAGCACAAAATTGCTTGACGAGGACTGAGCCAGAAGGGCCATTTACCCTTGTAGTGCTCTAAAAGTATGGCAAACATGCGTTCAACTGATCCTAGAATGGCTGTGTATCATAACAGGCCTCTCAATTTTGGCTTTATCCTCAACTGAGAATTCCAACTTAAAACGATCAGGAAGCTGGAAGTCAAGCTGCAAGTGCCGATTAGATAGTAGCATCCAATATTTACATATGCCACAAATACTTGCCATCACATGATGCAATTAATCTTCAAAAGTTAATCTACTTCCGGGTTCACGAACTCATTCACTCCAAACTTCTTAGCTGTGAACAAGATTGATTATTACTAAAGTTAGTCCTTGAATTTATGTTGTTGACCAAAATCTTAAATCATTAGATGGAACACAGAAAGTGTTGTACCTAATTCAAATCGGCTGGAAACTAAATCAACTCCAATGATTCTTGATGCACCAGAGATCCTTGCACCTTCAGCAGCCTACATTATGGTTAAAAAAGAAGAGCAAAAATTAATATTGTCTCATTTCATTTCCAATCATAGCTGCAATGCAACACACACATGCAGACAAAGATATAAGAGTAATAACATACAGCAAGGCCAACAACTCCAAGCCCAAAGATAGCAACTGAAGAACCTGGCTTTGGTTTTGCAACATTCACAGTAGCACCAAGACCTATAAGCATAAATGCAAATTGAATTAGGAAATCACAGACCAAGCCTGGTAATATATAAATATCTGAAGCTAGGGATCTTGTATATATATACCTGTGCATATTCCACAACTGAGAATACAAACTTTGTCAAGTGGTGCTTCAGGATTGATCTTTGCAACACATCCAGCATGAACCACTGTGTACTCACTGAATGTAGAGGTGCCCACGAAATGGTTTATGGGCTCTCCATTGATAGAGAATCTAGACTTGTTATCATTGAGCATGACACCTCTGTCAGTGTTGATCCTAAGAAGATCACACATGTTGCTCTCCTCCGACTTACAATGTGGACATTCACCACACTCCCCTGTGAATACAGGCAGGGCTTTATCCCCTGGTTTCAGATGAGTCACACCTTCACCTACGCTCTCCACGATCCTGATAAACATCATTCATTCACATTACATACTAAATTACTGATACACTAAATAATCAAGACATTTTATCAGAAGAGAAGCATATACCCTCCAGCTTCATGACCAAAAATACGAGGAAACAATGGAGTCTGACCCTGAAACAGTGGCAAAAAAGAGAAAACCATGTTAAGCTATTGCGATTCATAACAACATACAGAAACAAAACACACTATTTTCTTAACTGTACGACCAACTTCAGAACCATCAGATTCATCCAGCTGCAGCTGATTGTGTTCGACCACAGTGTTATCCCATTGCTTTCTGTAGTGATTGTCCATGTAGAAGTTTCTTAGCATCTCGGCGGAAATATCATTGAACACAGTCATACTCCAATATTTCAGGGGACCATTCTGCAACATCCAAGGACAACAAGTTCTTCAGCGGGTGTCTAGTTAAAGTATTAGTTTTTCATGTCTTAGATAGTTGAAAAGAAGCAGGAAAGGTATGAGCGATAGTGAGTGGAGAGTTTAACCTTAGGTTTTGTGGATTTAGCTTTGTAGCATAGATGATGATTTGTTTATCTATGACATCCTCCCATTTATGGTTCTGATTTAGAATTTCATCCATTAAAAACTTCAAATCAGCATCAGTGACAGTGTTTGAGGTTCTGCAATTGTAAACCCTAAAAAGCCCCAATTTCAGTAAAGCGTATGAAATTGAACGAAAATAAAATGAATAAAGTAGAGTAGTAGACCTTGGGTTTAAATTGCTAGAATCGGAGATCAAAGAGGACGCCAACAGGGATCTGCTCTTACGGTTCAGAAGAAACAATAAAGTAACAACAACAACAAGAAGAAGAAGAATAGCGCAGCCACCATAGAAGTTGCTCAAATTTAAAGGGAAGCCATCGAAGCTTCTTAAGGTTCTCATCGAATTGATGTGGTTGAAGTTTGTACAGAGAAAAAGCAAAAGTATGAAGAAATTTGGAGAAAGATACGTGAACAATAAATAAAGAGAAATAGACGAAGCGGGGTAAAGGATTTAGGGGGACGACGGGTGTGGTTACCGTCGTGCCCTTTCATAACTTTTGCATGTTTTTTAAAGGTTTAGGGGGGCGACGGTTGTTTTACCGTCGTGATGTCTATTTTAGGACGGTTTCTTAACCGTCGCAACATTCATTTTAGGGCGGTTTAATGAAAAATTGTCGCGATATTTAATATTTTTTTAAATATGTAAGGACGGTAGGTGTATACCGTCGTGACATGGGTCCCTATATTAGAATTACGACGGTTATTAAGTAACTGTCGCAATTTTTGTGTCGTAAAATCCTAATTTTCTTGTATTGTGACTTCCAGTGCAATTGATTTTCATGGTTGTGCAATCGGTTGCATACTCAAAATATTTGGAAATCTGGCTACTGGAACCTCGTGCAATCGATTTGCATGGTTGTGCAATCGATTGCACACTCAAAATATTTGGAAATCTGGCTACTGGAACCCTGTGCAATCGATTTGCATGGTTGTGAAATCGATTGCACACTCAAAATATTTGGAAATATGGCTACTGGAACCCTGTGCAATCGATTTTCATGAAGGGTGCAACCGATTTCCTGTTGTATGGGTTTGAAAAACAGCAACGTTACACCTGCCTGTTCATGATACTGTTTCATGGAAAACTTTTCACTCAAACTTGGCAATTGTTCATGATTTTTTACAAACCTTTTCTTCAAAGGTCACTGCATTTTAACATAATAAATGAGAAAAATGATGATGATTAAAATGAAGAGTTTTAAAGTTAAGGAGACCTATCTTGCAGCTAGAATTTATGTTTTGAGCTTGAGGTGTTTCCTTGTGGACTGTTATGACCTTTTTCAGTTATGAGATTTTTTGAGAGTTTGCCAATAAAACTTCTGGTTTTCTTTTTATGTTTTCTTTTTTTTTCTCTCTCTATTTTTCCAACCTCTTCCTCTTGCAAATTCTTCTTCTATTTATAGGCAAAGGACTTGTGAACAAAGGCTTAATAGGTTTATAAGACAACATGTTATGGTTTGGTTGGGATGTAAGTATCAAACTATGTCAAGTACTCCATGGTTCCAAGATGAAGTACCAAAGTTGTTGGTATTGTGAAGCTACTTCCCATGATTTATGGTGGAGTATAATCAACAACAAGCAAGGTATGGGCTCAAGGCAAACTATGTACAAAAAGCTTGCTTTTCAAGAATAACAATGGTGCCTTTATGCCATAAATGGAAAGATATTTTGGACAATGGTTTAAACACCTGGGTAATAGCTCAAGAGTGGGTGTAAGCATTAAATTATGATGAGATTTGGAAGAAAAGAAGCCTGCAACATAAGATTATGCAGAAAATCATGAGAGTTTTGTTATGTGTTCTTCACTTAGAATTACTTGCAATTCAAAGATGGATGGCCAACTTCAAGCCCTTGAATCTCCTAGCTCAAGTATGATAAATTTATGCTCTTAGATGTTTTGGAAAGCTTGAAACATCGTCTATAACTTTTATGTTAGCCATTTTGACAAAATCATCTTGGAACTATGTGAAAAAATGCCAAGAATTTGGGGTGAAATCCTGACCAAAATCTGTTGAAAATTTCTCTAAGTGTTAGATGAAAATGTCATAACTTCATGAATTTATATCTCAAAATCCAAGCACTTCTAGGAGAAGTTGTGTAAAGCAATGTTGTAGATATCATGGAGATCTACAACTTTCATGTTGAAAGTTTCCCTTGAACTATCTTGCATCTTGGTGAAAGAATGGCATGAAGTGATGAAATTATCATGTATAAAACACTTAGAAAATTTCTAAGTCTTGGAAATCTTGACTTTTCAAGTTGACTTTTGACTTTCTTGACTTCTTGATGATCAAGCTTAATATTCTTGAATGTCTTGATGAAATTTGATCTTTGGAATGTAATGTTGACCAAAAAGTCAAAGTTTGACTTTCTAATATGCAATTGACCATTTTTCCCTTGTGCCAATTCCAAGCCTAAATTGATGTATGAGTGCTGCAAACTTGACGTCATAGAAGAACTTGTGAGAGAATCCTTGAGAAATGAGAGGGCAAATTTTGGGGTACAACACCAACTCCTGAAGTCTTGAGTAAATGTTGATTAGGGTGATAAGCCTTCTATTGATAGGCAAGTGACGAGATGACGTGACATAGTCGTACGCTTTAATCCCTAACTTTTTTCTGGACTGTCCTTTTAGATTTCCAGTCTACTGGGATACCCTTTTTTTCCTAAGCTGCCTTATCAGGTTTTAGACTTGACGAGTGTACAGTTTTAATCATATGTCCCTAATTTTTTCTCGAACTCCTTTGGTTCGCCAGGATGCCTTTATTTTTTCCTAGGCCAGTCAACCTAGCAGGTCTTTTTTCATGCGTAGTATTTTCTGACTATTGTTCGTGTTCACAGGGTGCAGAGAATTGTCATTTTCCATAGTAGTAAGTGTTGTAACATTGCTAGAAAATGTTTGCTTGATCATGTGTGATTCGTTGCTGGAATTCATGTTTAATGCCTCAAGTGATTCAGATGGAGATCTGCCCCTGGCTATTTGGCACTCTTGAGGGATTCCTTGAATCTTGACTCGACTGCCCCAGATTAGCTAGACACCATGCCATGCCCCTTGATTATGAAAGTCCAGTTACTAGAAATGTCTTTCCATCTGAGGTGCTTCTGTCCATTGAGAGGATTTTCGTTCATTGAATATTCGTCGTGTGAATTTCTATGTTGTTGAACAAATAGTTATATGCAAACAGTGGTATTAAAATATAAAGCTTATATTTGTCTTAAAGTTTGAAAAAAATGTATTTTTAGTACACAACCGAATTTTGTAAGAATATGAATTCAACTCAGGATTTATAGTAAACCTTACAGGAGTCAGGATACCTTTTTGTAACAATATTCTTTTGAACTGACATGTGCTTCAGTTAGGACTTTTAAGGGTTGTAGCGTGGCCTGGTTCACGGTTTAAGAAACAAAGGATAAACGCTCAAACTTTATTTGTAGCCAACCCGTTATTCATGATTTTCTTCAATCATACACTCAGTTAATTGTGCATTTAGATCCCAATTGAGTTCTGGAATCTTGGCCATGATATTTCGGTTATGGTTCGGATACTGAAAGTTTATTTGAGAAGGCAGACATTTTTGTAACCTTTTATTTTGTTGAGGATTTGTAGTGACCTCTTTTTTTTATTATCCCTACCTTTTTCTTGAACTATTTCTTTTGTGATTACAGTCAGCGGGAAACCCCAGTTTTTTTCTTAAGTCTCCTTTATAGGTTTTGACTTAGAGGGCTTTTCTTTTGAGAGATAATGACTGCTTATTTTAATGATTATGTGGAACCATCACCATCTTTTGATTTGGAAGGATACCTCTGACACTACTTGTCGTGTATGAAGGGAAAGCTTGCAATTAGAATGCATTATTGAATCAACTGAGAACCTACCCTGCCCCAGGTTATGATTAAGGGTTTTAATTTGTTTGAAAAGAAAACTCATACTTCTTAGGCTCAAAGGGGTTGACTAGGGATTATCTTTCTTATAACTCCACTGTTTAGGATTTGAAACAATACATGTACATCGTTAGCAAGGTCTCTTCCTAAGCATACTGTAGAGATTATAGTATTTTTTTGTCATCCTCCCTCTAAAGGCTTATAGCTTTTAATCAAGAGTTGAATATCCCAAAAAGGAAGTAAAAGCATAGATTCAGTATAGTGACAATGAATGAAATAATTCAAGACAAACATATGCAATGCATTGATGAAAATAACAAAGTTTGACATAAATAAGTATTCGAAAAATCAAAAGAAGACTACAACTTGAAAACTATAATGAATAAAAGCCTTTTTGTCTGAACTTGTCACTTTAGATGGTGTGCCCTTAAAGGATGGCAGAAGAATTCAGTCTGACCATCTTGTGTGAACTCCAGCACTCCTTCGTCGATCAAGTCTTGAATCTTATTTCTCAATGTCCAACAGCTATTAGTGTCATGTCCAGGACTGTTGGAGTGGTACGCACACCTTACATTTGGATTGTACATTGGAGAGGCAGTGTTGGGATTTGTAGGAGGATCCCGCAAAGAGATGATTTTAGCTTTTAGCAAGTGTTGCAGTTCCTAAGATAAAGTCATATTAATCTTAGTAAACTTCCTTTCCTGAAACTTTGTCCTACGCCTATCTCCCCGTCGTTGTTGAACACGTGTAGGATCACAAATTAACACCGCTCCCACTGTTGGAAGGCGTTCAGTCTTACCCTGGTTTCTCTGGTCATAAGTAGCACTGACCTCTTTCTTCCCAGTGAAGGGTTTCTTCATTGTACTTGAAGATATATTCCCCTGAATTTCATCGCTCCTAAGTTTATTTTCAACATGCTCATGCATGAATATGTCACCCAATTCCCTATCTGCTAAGACAGATTGATCATTGATTAGGCCCCAAGCTCTAGCAGTTTGCCCCAGACTGTCGTATATGTCTTGATGAATCTTACTGATGAGAATCCTCAACCTTTCTTGTTCCCGAGCTAAACTTTGGATAAGGGTCATCTGACTACTCATCTGGATTCTCATCCTTCCCATCTCAGCCTGCAGTTGTTCCAATAGGTCATCCTTCTTGTTGTCGGGATGTTTCTTGGTAGAGTTCCCATTGAGGAGTGCTTTTAATTCTTCTTACCCCTTGGATTGATTTAGGAACATTTCCTTAAACTGAGCATCTTGAGTTTGGAGATCTCTGTCGTTCTGTTTGAGATCCATTTTCCTTGCTAAAATAAACAGCGAGAAAATGAGAAACCTGTCTTGGAAAACCTGTTATGTAATGACATACATGCAATGTTTTCAAGGATCTTGTGGGGTAAACGCAGGAAGTTGTTAGAATCTGACTGTAGCTTTGATTGAAGGACTTCGTATCATTGAAGAT